AAAAAAGGCCCCTCCAGTATCACGTAACCACTTCCCCTTGAGGGACCTATAGTGGTACATGCTTAGAATGGGGGCAATGAGGCTCCCCCAAAGGAAATGAATGGTAGGTCAGATGATAAAGAACATTTATGCAATTTGGGGTATTTTTACTCAAAACGTTGCAGTCAGGGGCTTTTTCACCCCAATAAGAACGGTGGAAATGAGGAGGAGTTTTGAGGGTAATCATCCCCCCAGCCTAAAACCAGTGCTCATCCATCATTTTTAATTATTATTTTTTTAAAAAAAGCACTAAACCCACTAGGGTCAACAGTGCTGCCATTTTTTCTAAACCTTTTTAAAAAATGTCACACACCAACGCTTGGGATCTTGATGCTGGAAATTCTTAAAACCTTGTTAAACTATACCCCTAACTACTTCCACTTTAGCTCCTAAACTCCCGCCACCACTGCATTTTCCCCCTGTTGCGTAAAAGGGCCCTTTTCTCGCACAAATGCACACTTTTTATCAAGACTGAAGGACGAACACATCAATTTCCCGGCTGAGGGACAAATTTTCTTCAAAACTTTTCACCATTCTTTTCTGTATTGGGTTGAAAAAGCTACTGATGGCGAAATGTTTCCAGAATATAATTATTTTATTATAAAAAGGGGGAAAGCGCTAAACCCGTAGGATTAACAGCGCCAGGGGAGGGGGGATGTGGAACTTCAGGCAAATTCGGGGAACTGGACCAGACCAATTCCCAAATAAAACCCCTCCCCAAACAAAAGGGAACCTTCCATGAGGGGGTTTCCAAAAAAATAACCCAAAGGTTGCACAAGTCTCACAGCTTTTTGGGGTTCTAAGCATTTTACAAAAATAGTATGAATTCCAGTCAAAACCCCTTTTCACGGGCATCATTGAGATCCCCTAATTTCCCTTTAAACCAGAAAATATGTATTAAGCCTACAAGACTGAAAATATGCTGGGCTTCATCTTTTACTAACAACAGACTGATATGTTAATTAACCCCACAAAAAAACACATTCAGACACAAAATAACAAGGGACAGACATTATGCACAGGGGTCCTGATTAGAAAATTGATAATTATGAGGTGTCTTTACATAATTCAAAATTCAATAACAAAAACCAAAAATGGGGAAAAATCAATCAATCCTAAAGAAACAAGCTGGGAAGATATCCTAAATAACACGGGTTTTGAACCTTGCCTAAAAAAAATTTAACTTGGTTCTTAAAAATCCTCAGGGGAATTCCATTAAGAAAAAAGAAAAATAGTTAACGAAAAAAGACAGACCCCCTAACAGATGAAGGCAACGAATCAAGAGCTGTAGAGGGGGAATAACTGAAATATAAGGAGGACTGTCAGTGAAATACAAAAACAAAATTTAAACGAAGGAATCTTTCAGGAGACAAAATTGTAGGGAAAACTAAAAACCATAAAGGAAAATTTAAAAAACAAACAAAATCTTCTTTTTTAAGTTAAATCGAAGGGAAAAACTCCCCTATTTGGGGCCCCGCTTTTTGGGGGAGATGGGGCCCAAAACGATGACAGCCAATACAACTTAGTGTTCAGTAAGCTTTTTTCCCAGACTAAGGGTCGACATCCAAATAAATTCTTTGTGAACGAGACCCAAAAATTTGGTCATCTCAAAAGTCTCGGATATTATCCTAACACCACAAGACTGAAAAGGCAATAAATAACATGTCCATGCACTCTGCCCCGGGCCCAGACCATGGAACCCATGTTCATCAAGACTACAAGAAGCCCATCACTGCCTTCAGCATTCTATGAAGATCGAGCAGGGACACAGGGTTGTCTCACACCACAAAAAAACAACAGACATAGCCCCACTCTACAAAGGTGCAGTAAAAATCACTAGCAAAGGACTATAGCCCAAATAGCACTAACATCCTATATCATAAAAATCTTTGAAAGGGTTCCAAGAAACGAGATCGCCAACCACCTAGATTAATATTATTATAATCAAGGGAAGCGCTAAACCCTAGATTATACAGCGCCTGGGAGGGATGTGGAAGGCAAACAGGCTTAATTCGGGAACTGGAGCACAGATCCAATTCCCTAAATCAAGAGCCCCCACCAACATCAAGGAACCTTCCCTGAGGGCAACCACCCAAAACCCATCAGTTGTACAACCCAGGCCAACATGGGGTTTTTGAGCAGGGTTTCTTCTGCCTGTTCCAGCTACTGGACCACTATGACAAGGTCCTGGATGCTAATAGAGATAAACAAAATACAGATGTAGTATACAACAGACTTTTGCAAAAGCCTCACAAGTGTGACCACCGTTAAATAGTGCACAAAATGCGTGATAAAAGGAATAACAGGAAAAGTTGTAGATCGGATCTATAATTTCTGACAAACAAACACAAAAGTAATGGTAAACAGTAAAGTCCGAGGCAGCTACAGTGAACAGCTCTGTTTCCCACAAGGCACAGTTCATCGCTCCCATCCTATTCCTCATCTTCATATCTGACGAGAGATGTAAGCATACTCCTGTCTTCCTTTGTGGATGACACCGAATTGCCATGAGTGTCCCCTCCATCGAAGACACCACAATACTCCAAGTGACAATCAACCCAAATCTTTCAAATGGGCACACTCAAAACAATATGAAGTTTCAATGTAAGAAAATTTCACTACTCAATATAGAAAAACTTTTTAGAAATAAAACTGATAAATCAGGGTATATAACAAATTTCAAACCATTTAGTATGATAGTGACAAAAGTAGATGGTGAGGTCCTGGGATGAAAATTCAGAGAGATCTGGCCTTCAAAGACCACAACACTGTATCTACCGCAGCTAACTAGAACATATAAGGATGGGATAATGAGAACCTCCAAACTAGGATGCCAAGCCCATGAATGATTCTCTCAAATTGCTTGTTCTCTCTAGGCTGGACTACTGC